CACGCGCACACGCGAACACGCGCGCACAAGCACACGCGCACACGCGCACACGCGCACACGCGCACGCACGCACACGCGCACACGCGCACACACGCGCACGCACGCTCACGCACGCACACGCGCACACGCGCACACACGCGCACACACGCGCACACACGACGCGCACACACGCACGCACGCACACGCGCACACGCGCACGCACGCACGCACGCACACACGCACACACACACACGCACACGCGCACACGCACACACGCTCACGCACGCACACGCGCACACGCGCACACACGCATACGCGCACGCACGCACACGCGCACACACACGCGCACGCACGCACACGCGCACACGCGCACACACGCACACACGCACACGCGCACACACGCGCGCACACACACGCTCACGCGCACACGCGCACACGCGCACACGCTCACACGCACGCACGCGCTCACGCGTGCACACGAAACCGAGAACTGCACGGGCAACGGACGCCCGAGCGATGGCAAGCTCTCCCGAGGCGGCTCCGGCCGCGGCGCCGCGGCCCGGAGAGCACGCGCGCGGGAGGGCCGCCGCTGTCTCGACCAGCCCTCCTCCGAGCCACCGGCGTCCGCCGAGGCGTGTCCTTCCATCCGCGGCCCCCAAGTGTCACGACCGCTTCCCCCCCCAGGGGCTGCTCTTCGTCCTTCAGCCGCGCGCAGAGGGGGGTGGGGGGCCCGGAGGGCTTCTCAGAAGCACCCCCCCTGCTTCTTAGAGGGCGCGGGCCTTCTCTACAGATGCAAGGCCGGCGCCTTCTAAGAAGCAGCCTCCTTCTGAGAAGCCCTCCCCCTCCCTCCACCCCCTTGTGCGCGCCGCCAAGGCTCGGAGGGCACCAACTCTACACCAACACCGATCCTGGCCCAGGATCACCCTGGGCCCAGGATCGGTGTATATGCCTTCTTGCGCAAGGCAGGAGGGCGTATACACCGATCCTGGGCCCAGGGTGATCCTGGGCCAGGATCGGTGTTGGTGTATAGTTGGTGCCTTCCTAAAGGCTGCTCTTTGTCCTGGATCCGTTTTTGACGGCCCGGGTGCCCGCCAGCGGGCCCCCGAATGCGCCCTCGAGGAAGGACACCTGGCCTGGAGGCATCCCGTCGGCGGGGAGCTGTGCCAGGCCGCCGTTGTCTCGACGGGCCCTCCTCCGGCTCGTCCTGCCGACGATCCTCGGGACGTGTGCCGTCAGAGCCCCGAACCATCGGGGGTAACTCGGGTCAGGGCTAACTCGGGTTCGTTGTTCGGGAACCCGAACCCGAGTTACCCCGGACCCGAGTTGCCCCGGATAACTCGGGCGTCAGAGCCCCGAACCATCGGGGGTAACTCGGGTCAGGGCTAACTCGGGTTCGTTGTTCGGGAACCCGAACCCGAGTTACCCCGGACCCGAGTTGCCCCGGATAACTCGGGCGTCCAGAGCCCCGAATCATCAGGGGTAACTCGGGCGCCCAATGCTGGCCCGACGTGTGTTTTCCCCCCTCCCGGCCTGCGTGCGGCCATCGTTGCACCGCCCGCGTCGTGTGAAAGGGCTTCTGCAGACGAGCTCGCGCTGACGCTAGCGCACGTTCTGAGGACCCTCGACCCTCGTCCGAGCTCCTCCTCGTCTTGCCTTCGCCCCGGCAGCACCGCCCCCACCAAACGACCCCAGCCCGACCCGAAGGCCTCCATTTCCCCTCCACTTCCATTGGTGAGGGGGGGGGGTCGGGGAACATGGAGAAACTCGGGTCCGATTCGGGCCTTCGGGTCGGGTTGGGGTGGTCTGGTGGGCAGCCACCGGCAGCACCGGGCGGCGCCGGCGGCCTGGAGCCTGCACCGCCCGTCCTCGCCCCCCGTGCCCCCTCTCGGGCGGCGCCCCGGCCGGCGGCCGAGGGCATCGGCTCCATAGTGGTGGCCGTCGGCGGCGTCTACCTGATGAGGGAGATGGCGGTCCTGCTGAGGGATCGGCGGCCCGCGGGGCTGCCCGACGACGGCGACGACGGCGCCGACGAGGAGGAGGAGGACGACGAGGACTAGGACGACGACGACGACGAGGACGACGACGAGGACTTGGACGACGAGGACGAGGACGTTGGCGACGGCGCCGAGATGGCGATCCTGCTGAGGGAGCGGCTGCTGGGGCTACAGCGATGGCCAGGATCGTCATCCTTCGCTTACTGCTCGTCGCCAGAGGCGTCAGCCTCTCCGCCAGAAGCCTCATCCTCATCCCTCTCTTTGCCCCCCTATCCTCGTCCCTCGCTTCCTCCCTCCTCGTCCTGTTGCTGCTGCTGCCGCTCATCGTCCATCCTCGCCCTCCACAGCCTCGTCTGCTGCTTCTCTTCCTCGACCCTCCTCGCTCCAGCTCATGCCCTGCCTTCTCCTCCCAGGCTCCCAGAACGCCCCCACAGTTGCAAGGAACCATCGTCACTAAGGATATCTCGGCTCTGGCCTCAGTGCAGCCGCTCTTGCCGTTCTTGGCTCTCCTGACAATGCAGTTTTGGGCATTTTATCTCGTATGACAGTCAGGAGGGAGATTATCCCGGCAAAGCAACCTAACAGCGATGTGTATAAGCATATTTGGAAGCATTTCCCTTAAGATTCAGATGAGAATCCAGTTGTAGAATTCTGCTGTTCTCGCAGACGCAGTCGCATTCGCAATGACAGTCACAGTGGCAACGGCCTTAGGAAACCTCAGGAAATCCTTGGGCATCCATAGGAATCCTTAGGAACCCTTAGGAATCCTAATTTCTAGGGATTCCTGGGGATTCCCAAGGATTCCTAGGGAATCCTAAGGATTCATAAGGATTCCTGAGGATGCTTAACTATGTCTACGGATTCCTAAGGATGCCTACGGATTCCGAAGGATTCCTAGGGATTTCTAAGGATTCCTATGGATTCCTACGGATGCCTCAGCCTGCCTCAGTTTCAGCCTCAGCCTCAGCCTGCCTCGGCTTGCCTCAGCCTCAGCCTCAGCCTGCCTCGGCCTTGTCTCAGCCTCAGCCTGCCTCAGCCTCAGCCTCAGCCTGCCTCGGCCTCAACCTGCGTCAGCCTCAGCCTCAGCCTGCCTCAGCCTCAGCCTGCCTCAGCCTCAGCCTCAGCCTCAGCCTCAGCCTGCCTCGGCTTGCCTCAGCCTCAGCCACAGCCTGCCTCGGCCTTGTCTCAGCTTCGGCCTGCCTCGGCCTCATCCTCATCCTCAGCCTCAGCCTCAGCCTCAGCCTGTCTCGGCCTGAGCCTGCCTCGGCCTCAGCCTCAGCCTGCCTCAGCCTCAGCCATTGCCTCGGCCTCAGCCTCAGCCTGTCTCACCTCACCTGCCTCAGCATCAGCCTCAGCCTCAGCCTGCCTCGCTTGCCTCGGCCTCAAGCCTCAGCCTGCCTCGGCCTCAGCCTCAGGCCTCAGCTGCCTCGCCTCGAGCTCAGCCTGCCTCATCCTCACCTGCATCAGCCTTCAGCCGTCCCCTGCCTCAAGCCCGCAGCTTTGCCTCAGCTTCAGCCACAGCCTCAGCCATCAGCCTCAGCCTGCTTCAGCTTCAGCCTCAGCCTCAGCCTGCCTCGGCTTGCCTCAGCCTCAGCCTCAGCCTGCCTCGGCCTCAGCCTCAGCCTCAGCCTGCCTCAGCCTCAGCGTCAGCCTCTCAGCCTCAACCTGCATCAGCCTCAGCCCCAGCCTCAGCCTGCCTCAGCCTCAGCCTCAGCCTGCCTCAGCCTCAGCCTCAGCCTGCCTCGGCCTCAGCCTGCGTCAGCCTCAGGATTTGAGGTTGAATGGCTTCAAGGTCTGATGAGTTCAGGGGCATAGCGGTTCAAGAAGTTATTCGCGCAAGGGCGTGAGGGTTGACGTCTACGTAATTAAGGGTTGAACGGCTTCAGTGTTTAAGAGTAGATGGAATTTGAGGTTTGAGGAGTTGACAATTTAAGGGATTGCAGGTTTAAGTTTTGTCCGGGGATTGGATTGCAAGGCTTCGAAGTGATAGTAGTTGAATTATTCGAGGGGCGTTAGGTGATAACTGCTCAAGTGTTCAAGGGTTAAGTGCTTAACTTAAGGGTAGCTGGTGTTTTTTTAAAGGGTCTTAAGGGTTAAAGTTCGGAGGGTTTCAAGGCTTCAAGGTTAAGTAGCTTAAGGGTTCAAGGATTAAAACGGGTTTGCGGGTTTAGCGGTTTGAGGGCTTAAAGGTTTGATGGGTTAGTGGTTTCGGAGACAGCGCCGCTTGCCAGATCCCTCGACGACCACCCTCGGATGCAGGAGCCACGGGGCACGAGAGACGGACGAGGAGGAGAGGGAGGAGGAGGAGGAGGAGGAGGAGGAGGAGGAGGAGGAAGAGGAGGAGGAGGAGGAGGAGGGGCAGGAGGAGGAGGACGAGGAGGAGAGGGAGGAGGAGGTGAGGAGAAGGAGGAGGAGGAGGAGGAGGAGGAGGAGGAGGAGGAGGGGCAGGAGGAGGGGCGCCTGCAAAACGCCTCTCACAGGCCTGTAGGATGCCTCCCTCCGCCGCTTGCAAGACGCCTCCCGGAGATGCCATTCGGAGAGCCCTTTTCGGAAACGCTTGCAAGACGCTTGTACAACAATAAGACGCTTGCCCCCTGTAGGACGCCTCTCAGGGACGCCTTTCAGAGGGGAGGCCGTGAGACGCTTGCAAGCCGCCTCTGGGAGACGCCGTTGAGAGACGCTTACAAGACGCGTATAAAATGCCTGTGAGGTTTCTCGTGTCTGTTGGTTGGAATTCATGTCAAAGTGGTTGCAGTTCGTATCGACATGATTGGACATAGTATTGAAATAGTTGGGTTTTGATCTAGATAGTCGTGACTTGTCCCATTTCTGGGCCTTCCCGCCTCCCCCCCCCCCGCGGTTGCCGAGCAGATGTTCGTTGGGCATCGCACCGTCCAATCACGGCAAGCATGGTTGCTCCTCCTCTGGCAGACCCATCTGCGCCCGACCCGCTACTTTGGCTTTAAACCATGTCCATGTGGCCCAAGCGGCGCACGTGTCTTCTCTCTGGGGCCGCTGCCGAGCCTGGCGCTGGTGAGCACCGCGGCGCACGCGTCGACCATGGAGGCCGCCGCCCACAAGGATGTGGAAACGGGAGTCCAGAGGAGGGTGTTTATTGCTATGTGCGTCACCTGGTTCGTGTTAGGCGGTTGCGTTCTGCTCGTCCGCGTGGCCGGGCAAATGGGGCAGAGGTCGCAGCGATCATCCTTGGCCTCGTGCTTCGGCAAGCTGTTCGGACTGCGAAGACGCTTGGAGCAGTTCCTGGCTGGCACAGTGGACCACCCCTCCGCGAGGCGGGTGGCCAAGGAGTTGCAAACGAAGCGGCTTGTTCACGCGCGTGCCTCGATCCCATATGGCTGCGTGGCCGTTGCAGGCGCTCTTGGACTCGGTCTCTGTAGGACTATCATTGGTGTCTCACGCCCGAATTCCTGGGTACAGGACATGTGCCAGTTTGTGGGTTTTTGCATCGTTCTCTTTCTTTGGGCGTTTCCTCAAAGTCTGACGTTAAGAACATTAGATCTATGGTCTTCCTTTATGATGGCATTGGTTGTCCTGTGGGTATCGCCTCTTGCCTCGGCAGAAGGTGTTGCGGCCTTCTCATCTCTGTTACCCTTCGGTGCTACTTTGGTGCTCTGCTTGTTCAGCATGAATTTCCGTTTGAACATCACATGTCTATGGAGCGTATCTTTGTCAATCTGCAGCACCATCTATTTCGGCACCGAAAGTTTTGTTGAAGAGTTTCTGCCAGACCGGACGCAGAGGGTTACTCAGGTGCTGGTGGCCAATTGCATCTTCTCCATTTTACTAACGATCGTTCATCAGTCAGTCTACTTGGTCGTGCAGTACGACATGGAAGCTAACATCTCGAGAAACGAGCTGAAGGCTGCGCGATCGGTGCTGCGGGGCGTCTGCGACGCCGTCGTGGAGCTCGACAGCGACTTCCGACTGCAGGACGGGTCCTCCGAGCTGGTGGGCATGCTCCTGTTGAACCCACTGCGCCCCATCCTGGGCGAGGACTTTCGGCAGTTCCTGGCATCCCGGCACGACCGCGAGAAGTTATCCGAGCAGATCAGCAAGGCCTTGCTTCCGATCGCGGATTCGGTTGGGCCCAGCGCCGAGGATTCGGTTGGGCTCAGCGCGGCGTTCCACGTCTCCATGAAGGACAGCTCCAGCGTGACCCTCGAGGTCGAGATGTTCTGCGTGCGCTTCGTCAATCGGGAGGGGCAGACCGCACACTTCATCGGCATCCGCGAGTTCACGGACACCGCCCCGATGCTGAGGGGCAGCGTGTCGGAGAGGACGCGGCGTGACGAGAGAGCGAGCGGCCCGCAGAGCTCCTGTACGGCACTCGTCAGGCTCCCGGCCGCCCCTGCGGACTCCACGGCCGAGGCCTCCGGTCAGGCGTCGACAGACGTGAGCTCCGAGGCCTCCTCGCTGGACGAGAAGTGGGAGGACCTGGGCGCCGAGGCGGAGCCCGTGGCCTGGGTCGACCTCTTGACCCCGACCTATGTCATGGTCTTCGGCCCATCCCGCCACCGGGCCTGGGTTGTTGGTGTGAAGCTCATTGGATGTTCGTTGGGATCTCGTGGGAGGCCGCTCGGGGGGCTCTTGGATGCAGCTTTGCGGCCCCTTGGGAGCCGTTTTGGGGCCTCTTGGGGCCTCTTGGTAGCCTCTTGGTGGCCTCTTGGTGGCCTCTTCGGGCCTTTTCGGCGCCTCTTGGGGCCTCTGGGGGGCTTCTTGGGGCGGAAGACTCGGATTTTCGGTTCGTGCTTCTCTTGCTTTGGGGGCCGTCTTTGGGCCCTCTTGGGCCGTCTGGGCGCCTCTTGGGCCGTCTTGGGTGCCTCTTGGGCCGTCTTGGACGCTTCTTGGGCCGTCTTGGTGCGCTCTCAGGCCGTCTTGGGGCCCTGTTGGAGGCCTCTTGGGGTGGTCTTGGGGGCCTCTTGGGCCGTCTTGGAGCATCGGAAAGCCGAACATGTGAGAACGTCAAT